ATGCTCTCAGTCGGGACCCACGACCTGCTGAGGACACCAACAACAAGTAGCCTATATATTTCTCACAAGAAGCAACCATGAACCACGATGTTCCTTAGTGGTGCACCCTCAGCCAAGACCAAGTGAATAGTGATGGACTATATGGCCCACGGGTTTCATGACCGGGTTTTCACTCAAAGTTCAAATGAATTTGAACTTTGAATGAAAGAAAATAATTATCCAAATTTGATACCTCGGCCCACATGCTCCTACTTACTCTAAACAAGCCCAATGGGCCCAATGAGCACATGAAGCCCGGATGCTGCGGCCCAAGCATAAAGGAGCCCATAATACACATGGAGAAGCCTTTGGCGCCATGCCCGAAGATACCAAACACCAGAAGACAATTGAATTTGAACCTGCGGAGCTGCAGGGAGATTCTGGCTAAAACAGCAGCCCTAGGCCATAGGATGCCTTCGTCGCGCATGCCTAGCCCTCGGCCATATGGTATAATGGTCGAAGGGTCTACGATCGGCAAAGATTCCCTCTGAAGACAAGCAACAACCGCATTTAATGTGGTGCCACATGCTATGTCGGTGTCATCCCGATTGAAGTGACCCTCCACCGTAGGATGATTGACACGTGTATGCGTATAGCATTTATGGCTGCTATAAATAGCAGCCCTTTTCCCATTGTAAGAACAACAAGTTCATTTAATATATCTGACTCTCTCTCTTACTTACTGCTCCGAGCCTCCGACTTTTCTCTAGATATCTCTCGTGATATCCTTCGGATAAGCTACCCAACAAATTCATGAACAAATATAATTTGGCCATATGAATAAAGAAATTTATCAATATACGACCTCAAAGAATGTTAACTATCAATTCATGAACTCAAAAATGAAGATTTTTTATACAATTCTTGAATGATTGAAAACTATCAATCAAATGATTGATACTAGTTTTATCGACACAACAATAAAATGGAATGAGGCCTATTGTATGTGTAAGTATAAGCCTGTTGCTTATTTCAATTTCTAAAGCAATTACTTTACCTTAGAATTAACGCAATATAATTTCTTTTAGGGAAAATTGTCAAATAGGCCCTCGTACTTACATAAAAAGGTCAAATAAGCCCTTATATAGGAGGCTATGTCCGGGCGTCGCCATTTGGGTCAGTTCCCGATGGAAATTTTTGATGAAATTTTTTTAGCATCTTATTAATTAAGAGCCCGGCCGTTTGGTAGCCTGAAAATCGGCTGGTTTGGCTGATTCTGCTGAAATTTATTAAGTTCTGGCTGAAGTGGCTGCATTGGCCGATTCTGCTAATTTAAGATAAAATTATTTTTAAAATATATTTTATTAATCAAATAAAGAAAAAAATTATATGTAAAAATAGCTAAAAAAGTCATCTACAGTAACTTCAGCCAATACAACCAGAAAAGTAACTCAAACCTTACCTTTTCTGCTTATTACACAATTCAGCGCGCTACAGCAAAAGTTACGTGTTTGGTGAAAAAGTTGACTGATAAGCCGAAAAAAGGTGTTACCAAACGGTACCTAAGTCTAGTTTACTCATACCAAATTTCAGCTAAGAATTCAATCGGGAAGACATTCAAATGAATTCTTGAAGATAACTACGCTTTTAACTGCGCAGTTATCTTCAAGAATTCATTTGAATGTCTTACCGATTGAATTCTTAGCCGAAATTCGGTATGAGTAAACTAGACTTAATGAATAAGATGCTCAAAAAAATTCGTCAAAAAATTCCCTCGGGAACCGCCCCAAATGACGACGGCCGGACAGAGCCTCTTATATAAGGGCTTAATTGACCTTTTTATTTAAGTTCGAGGTCCTATCTGACCCTTTTCCCTATCTTTTACATAAAAACGTCAAAAATTTAAAATCATGAATGATAAGATATTGGAAAATCGAGTAAGGAGTAACACGAAAGTTCGAGAGAGGGAAACTCCACTATAATGAAAATAATACAGAATTTTGTAACCTTCTCTACAAGCCGGAAAGAGCTATTTATAGCGGTATGAAATATTGGGAAGTAAACTATACATAAGGCACTAAAGATGTTTTTAATTGGACTATTATTTTTTTCTAGCTTGGTATAATTTGATGTGATTGGTTATGGTAAACGTATGATCTATATTTATATTACAATTGTCGAAGTTTAATGTAGTTTGAGACTCAAACCCGTCTAAATACAAACATCCTAATAAGCATATAGTTGTCTCTAGTTGTATGAGGGTATGCATCATTGTGACGTAAAGATGACAAGATGACGTATGCATCATTGTGACGTAAAGATGACAAGATGACGTAAGAGTGTAGGGTGTCGGTGCAGGTGAAATGACACCGCTCTTATATTTCTACTGAAGTGTTAATTTTGGTCAAGTATATCGCGGAGTATCGAGGCCGAAGGTGTTGACCAGTACCCTCGGCTTCGTTGATTATCCTCGGCTTTCCGTGATTAGCCCAACAAATGATACATACAGACCAGACTTAAATAGACCAATCTATACTAAATCAGACTTAAACAAATTAAACCAGACCAGTTTTCGACAATTATAAAATACATATTGACCAAACATTTATCAGGCTAGTTTAGACCATACCAGACTTAAACAGACTCAACCATAAAATTCAACCCAATTAGAAACATCCTAGAATATAAAGGGGAAATCATATAAGTGCCCCAAACTTTGAAGGAGTGTAACATAAATACCCTGAACTTGCATATGTAATATATATACCTCAAACTTTATATAAAAAAATTATTTCCGCACCATGATTATATGTTGTTTACAAATACAAATTTAATGCAATAAGTGCATAATTTAAAATAATATAAGCTTTATTTGGGTGCAATTAACATTCTAATATTTCATTTATGAAATAAATAATATTAATTTGGTACAATCTAATTCTAATTGTGTTGTCATAAGTGCTTTGTGTATAATTGTATATTAAATTATGTACTTAACACCATAAAATTACATTTGTGAAAAAACATATAATCATGGTGCTACCATAACTTTTTATATAAAGATTGGCATAAACAGATGACTACAGTACTACACTCGACAACTCAGTGAAATGGATCAAGAGAGACCATGGAGGAGCGGGAATCAAAGCTAAAGCAGACCGGATTGCCTTCATCTATACCGTCTATTGGATATGGAGAACTAGAAATGCAACCTTATTTGATGATGCCACATTGAAAGAGGATGAAGTTTTTGCTAGGATAAAATACATGGTGCATAAGATCCTTTACAACATTTACCCACATGAGCTCATGACCTTTTGATACTTTGGTGCATTAGATTCAGGCCCATCACCTATTTTTGTGTTCGGCCATGTGTGATTATTATGTATAGGTATTGCGGTGATGTGTTATCCTTTCTTGGGATAACCACTATTTTTGTTCCCTATTTTTTTATGTAAATAAACTCTTTTGGATGATATATATACTTACCCTTATCTAAATATATTAAGATTGAGCTACATATTACATGTGCAAGTTTGGAGTACTTGTCTCACACTTCTTCAAACTTTGAAATATTTAGATTATTTTCTAAAAAATATAAACACAAAAATATCCAAAATAGAGATATTTATAATATTTAATATTGTATAGTGCGTGTGTGATGCGTTAATAAAAACAATACTAATAATATAAACTAAAAATAAATAAATACCTGACTAATATACTTTTTTTTGGAATATGCATTACTATTTATAAATGACCATTTTGTTGGTATGAGACTTGATTTCCTCGTGTTCAAGGTGGACCTGGTCCCGGTTCCCAAACCAAACCGTCCCGACCTAGGCATGGACCGGTTCTGGGACGGACCGGGCTCCGGGCCGGTCCAAATCGGGGTTTTATTGTTGGATGAAGGCCCGGAACCGGCCTGGGATTCCATCGGGTCCGGTCCGGGCAGGTCTCGAACCGTTTTTTTTTTTTTTTTTGCTTTTTTAATTAACCCCCACCGCCCAAAACACCCAGCCCAACCCGCCTACAACCAATAAAATGAAAGAACAAAAAAAAATTATAGGCCCGAATCGGGCCAGGCCGGTACCAAAGGAAGGGCAAGCCCGAAACCGCCCCGCCCTAACACCTCGGCCCGGTCCTAGGCCCGGTTCCCGAGCCGGTTCACCGGGCCGGTCCAGGCCCGCACAGTGGCGGGCCGGGGCGGTTAGACCGGAACTGGTCCATGCCTATCCCGGCCTACTCCAAGGACCAAGCGGATAAAGAACTGGAATGCCCAGGCCTATTGCTACAATTACAATCCTTAACCAATACAAAAACAATCAAAAGTTTAAAACCAGCTATTGTTTGTCTATAGTAGACCCAGATCCGTTTTTTTTTTCCTTTTTTTTGTCAGAATAGGCGCCTTGCGTAGGCATGGCCCGAGTCCAGTCCGATCGGACCGGAGAATCGGTTCCGGTGCCGGGCCTAGGGCCCAAACGAGGGGGGAATAAGGGGGCGGGTCCGGGGTTAGATATTTGGGGACTGACCCGGCCGGTCCGGGCCCTGTCCGAACTTTTTTTTTTGGGTTGTTTTGGGTTTGGGCTGGGTGTTTTCGTGGGGTTTTGGGGGTTGGAATAAATAAGAAAACCCAAAAAAACAAAAAAAAAAACAAAATTAAACTAAACCGGCCCGGTACCGATAGACTCCCCGGCCCGGGCCACCCCTAGCCCTGCGCTGGTAAGTCTGCCCTACGCGGACATGTTGGGAAAGGAGTCTGTCACATGTATAATGTATTTATACATTGACAAACAAACGATTCATGACTTTCGTATTCATAAATTGATATTTATAAATATGTTAGTAATTTTATCTTTTATGTCTTATCTTTTATGTTTTTTTTTTCTTTTCCTTTCTTTTGTGCTCGTTTTTTCTTTCACTTATCTTCTTGCACTGTAGTTTTTACTTTATTTATTGAATAAAATCGTGTTTCTTGAAGAAAAAAACATGTTAGTAATGTCAAAATCCAAGACATGTAGCTATAATAAGAGCATGGTTTCAGTCTATTTTTTTATTTTAATCATTGTTTCTGACAATATCTTCAGATTTCAAACAACCAAAAGATCCAAATACAAAACTCGTAGTAAGATGAGTTTTGTATAGGCTAACACTACGCGAACACAGTGACAGACCAAGCACAAAGGTAAGCCATAGATGATTAAGCATAGGCTAAATTACTACAACAATCAAATACTGAAACAGGGCGCTTGGAACTAATCATCATCTTCAAGAACGCTCCTACGCCTTTGGATCTGATAAATAATCAATACAGAACAACAGATAAGAAACCGACAATCAGACCAATATATTACAAATCAAAATTGAAGATGACCAGGGAATAGAAGCTTACTGTTACTTTCGTTTGTCTAGTGCCTTGAGTGTTAATCTGCTCCAGCAACTGTATGAGCCTTTCTTCAGACACCTACAAGATCAGTGGCATATGGCACAATGTTCAAAAATAATAAGTTAGAACGAAGAACAAAGTTACAACAAACGGCCTACCTATTAAGGTACTGTTCTGTTAACCTCACGCTTTTCTGTTATCGCTAAGATGAGATCAGGTCATAAATGATCGGATCGGAACAAACCAGAAGGGTTAATATTATACCATACCAGACTACACTACAAGTTATATTTTAGACAAGAAAAATATGTTACATCAGGCACATTAAGAATGATTCAACCTAGAAACATTCATACCAGAACAGAAATACTCGGAAGAGACCATAGCATATCTAAAAAAGCATCAGATCAAAACTTTTCATAAGAAAAGAAGAACGGGTCCTAAGTTCCAAAAAGCAGAGAGATTTTATTATAGCATAAACGATATGCTTATAAGAAGTGTGGAGTGGGTCGGTTTTTAGTTTTTTGTATAAAGGTAGGCAGGTTTGTTCCTTCATTATAACATTATATTACTCCGCATATTTTATTTTTAAAATTAAGTTTGGATTAAGTATAAGTAGTAGTCGAGTCTGATATTAAACAACGCATATAAATTTTAGTATTTTACTACCTCCATACCAAAAACTGGTCATGCTTTTATGATCCAAAAGGCCAAAGCAGTATTAGTGTATTACATACAAGAACAAGTGTTTTTTTTATATGCAGGGGTACATTATTAGATAATCAATGCAGAGGTAATTGGAAATGAAAACTACCTTCTCCTTAATCTGACCAACTTGAGCAGCTCTGAGTATTAGATCTTCAACTCCTCTGGCCTTTTCGGGCTTCACTAGCGCAATTCGGGCAACTGGACCACCACCCAATTTTGTCCAAACAAGCACAGATACAAGAATTAGAAGTGAGAGCAAAGTATGATGGACAAGATGGCCATAGCCTCTTGAGAATTCAAGCATTTGACATTGTTGAATTGTTCAAGAAGGTTTCTTCCAACCGTTAGCCTATTACTCATGAGTCATCCCCCCAGGCTCTAAACCCAAAAGCTGGCCATTCTTTGTCCTTTTACCAACCGCACATGAATAGAACATCTCTAAATACGAATAAAAGGTGATTTGAATGTCACACAATCACATATATGTAAGCCCTCAGATTTTATAATCACACAAATATGTGTTTGTGTGTGTGTGTGTGTGTGTATCAAAAAATAGACTAAGCTTTGGAGTCTTCCCTTCCAAAACCCTCCACCCAAACAGACCCTTACTAAGTATACCACAAGTGCTACAACCACCACACCAAACACCATCAAATAAAAAAACAAAATCTTAGTTGCAGCTACGAAATCAAAATATTGTGTCTACCCTGTTAGCCTTGAATTTGTCTTTTGTGATCCTTAAACCAAACATTTGCCTTTAAGTGAAATAGCTTTATGAAACGAGAAATTTTAGCTTGTAGCTTCATTTTGGAACATATTTGATGACATTGGATATTATGTTACTCTATTTGTCTCACTTCACTTGTCAAAATTATCATCCAATATACAACGGTTGACATCTTCCATTGCTTATTTCCTTTAATATGGAGTATCCGTACATAATAAGGGATATTTTGACGTTGCACCCCGTCTTTTGGGTAATATTGGACTTTGCACCCCATTTTCAAAAAATTTAGACTTTGCACCCTAATTCCCCTAAAATGTCTTTGCCTTTGCACCCCATTTAAGAATTTTCTTCACAAAATGTTGTAGATAGGGTGCAAAGTCTAGAAGTTTTGAAAATGGGGTGCAAAGTCCAATATCACCTAAAAAGTGGGGTGCAAACTCAAAATTCCCCATAATAAAACTGTCAAATGATTTTTTTAAATATAACTTTTTAAGTAAATTGTAGTTTATAAGTATATAAGTTTAAGTAATTATGACTTGTAGTAAATTACCAAAGAAATTTAAAATTTTGAGTCTTGCCTCATTGCATGAGTAAGACACAAAATACTAAAATAGGGATGGAGGAAGCACACTATATGAACTTCATAACATAGCATAAAAATATATGGAATCTATATTCATGTTCCACTCTTGAGGAATATGTTCCTCCTTATGGAAAGGAGTTCATAGCTATACCAAAGATGCATGATTGGTAAACAACAACAACATCCAAGCCTTAGTCTCAAAATACTTTGGAGTCGGCTAACATAAATTGATACTAGTATATGATATCGGAGCCAAAAAGAAAAGAGATATAAGAAAGATAAAAAGGATAAAAATATAAGATAAAAAGATAAAAAGAATAATATAAAGATTAAGATAAATCTGCCTTAATATAATAGCAAAAGGTTTCTTGGTGAGGAAGTTGGCGCCAAAAAATGTGCAGGGAAATATTTGCAGCCATGTGATGCTCAATCAGCCCTTGAAGAATAGTATTACACCATATAGCATTCAGAGAAGGTTCCAGAAAATTTATTACTACTAATTTATGCTTCCGAGGATTGCTTTGTCCAACAAGTTCTGTCGTTTTAGTTTCTCAGTGCATATAGCACCGTTGGCAATCCATTTTCCATTTTTGAAATACATACTCAACAATAGCAGGCAACAGCATATCAGCATCCACAAACTTTAGAATAACACATCCTATCTCATGATGTTTTGCTGCACATTATTCTTGTCAGGGTGAAAATTTCCTAGACAAATATGATTCATTGTAGGCAGGTAATCCCACCAAAATTCCAGAAAACACTCGAAGTCTTTTTATGAACAAAAGAGATATTTCCTGACTTATGGCATGTAGAGTATGATTTAGGTAATCAATACAAGCAACTCCACTTAGCAGCTCAAATGTTTCCTGTGCATTCATAGTAAAATCATCTATAGAATGTATTTGCCATGGAGGTAAAACTCTCGCTTTAAATTTTCTCATATTTTCTTTATGTTTGTTTTCCTAATGAGTTTGTGTATGTACATAGGCAACTAAAATTCTGCCATGTAATGATGGACCAAATGACAGTGTGGAAGAAGAAACTACATATAAGCAATTTGAATTTTTTTTTTTTAAATGTACTCCAAGAATAACCCAATTTTATAAATCTTAATTACAAGCAACATATTTAGCATGAAATTAAATAAGTTTAAGATTTTGAGAAGAAGTTCCCATAAAATAGGTATCATTCGTTGTGAAATTTCAATTTATTCTGTAATTACAAATTATTCATAATATGAAGACTAAAGACCAAAAAAATTAAACTCCGAGAAATGTGTTGATGGCTTAGTCATTCAATAACGGTGAGCAGCTTTGTATTTTTCGCAGCGGGCAAAACTCAGTTTGGTAAAAGTATTTGTCAACTAAACTATAGTAAATATGAGGTTTGACATCTAAGGTGAGAGAAATACTCCCTCCGTCCCATTTTACCTGTCTTACTTTCCTTTTGGGATTGTCCCAAAATAAGTGTCACATTTCCTTTTGTGAAAGAAATATGTAATCCACAATATTTCACTTTATTATAATCAAATCTCAACTACAACTTTTACTTTTTCAATTACTTCATTAATAATTGTGCCAAACCAAAATAAGACACATACAATGGGACGGAGGTAAAAGTTATCTCCTTAGGAACCAAAAGTTTCAATATTTTTTCTATTAATCAACAGTGATTTTGTAATGTTAGGGGAGTTATATGATTATATCCTATTTGATTTGAAGTGGGTCAATTTTAAATACAATGATAGTTATATTTGTCAATTAAATATCTATATTACACATTCATTTGAAGTGACATATCTGGAATTTTTTATAGTTACTACTCATTCTGTCCCAGCTTAAACTTCTCACTTGCATTTTTTGGACGTCCCAGCTAAAGCTTCTTATTTCTATTTTAGGAAATAGTTAGCACTCTTAAATGAATAATCATCAAATATTAAAAATAATACACTTATAAGATCACAATTACCATCAATGACTTCATTATGTAATATCGCAATCAAAATTACTTCTGAAAATATACTTGAATTACCGTATTAAATTATTGTCTAAATTATTGTTTCATTTTTCAATGAAAAGCTTAAGCCGAGACGGAGATAGTACTTATATTCTCAACAATCGGTTTAAAATTTTCCTCCAGTGCATCGCACAAGCAAAATACCTAGTATAAGATAACGAAAAAAATGATATGATAAAAAGGATAAAAAGAATATTTATATATGTCCAATATTCTGTTCCATACAACAATGCAAGCCTAATTATTGTCTGACATACCTCGATCACATAGAAATCCTAACGCATATATACCAAGATAAACCAAGATATAGGATGTTTATCAATTTAGTATCTAAGACTACCAATTTAGGTCATCAATGATTATAATACGATGATTTCAATGAAAATTAAAGACCTCTATATAATACATTTTCATTTACCCCAGTGCCGCAAAGGCTCCCACCTACGGTGGGGTAAGGGGGTCAGATGTACGCAGTCTTACCTCTGTAGTTTGTACTAAAGCACAGAGAGACTGTTTCCGGATGACCCATAGTGAAAATCGCGTCCAAAATTGCATGGGCTGACTGCTACTTCATAACAAAGAAGCACGGACAGTTTAGTGAGCCATATTGCTTTATTACATCATATTCTCAAGCCAAAAAATAATGAATCTTTGGCTCCATTGCAAATGATGGAAAAAAAGACCTCTATATAATGTAATATATAATTCGTGAAAGGATTTTTGTTGATAATTAATATAAATTAATTAAAATGAAAACTAAACTCATGTTTTTTTAATTTTTAGATCAAAAGATTAATAGTTAATTGATAAATTTCATCTTTAAACTTGGAGTGCTTGAGTGGTAGCTAACCAATCTTTCAAGCCCATAGATAAAACTACTATATTCTTAGCATTACTCAATACTCACTCACATATGTTATTAAGGAGAAACCATAATTATGAGACCAAATTGAAAGAGCTACTTCAGTATGCAGTAATGAGCACACAGAATCAACTAAACCCCTGTAGAGATTCTTACATCAGAAGATTCCACGACAGAAATAATAAAACTGAATTTTATATTATGAAAAGTATATCACAATGTTCAGGAAACATATGGCCCTGAATAGATTGGACGGGGCCTGAGTTTTCATGTAAGTGGCTCCAATTAATTGCACGGAGCTTGTGGACAGGCACACAATAATATACAAAATATTACTGAACTTCTTATTGCTTAAAGAAATTATGGAGACATTTAAAGGGCACAAAAAGAGGTGCTCAGTTCACAAGTTGATGATTTCCTATTTCTTCTGAAAGGATATGTGCAAATGTACCAGTCAAGTAAGAGAGATAGATGAAGACCATGATATGATGATAAGGCTCAAGATGCGATCTTGATTCACCAAATTCTACTACTTGACATTTTGTTTGGTCAAAATTTGATGCATCACTATTGTCAGCAGACCCTCATGAACAATTTAATACACTCCCCGACGTTTTCATTTGAGCAAAACTCATTACGAACTTTATAGGCTTCGGAAGGGCTAAAACATGGCGCAAACCATGTTCCTAATAGGGAAAACATAGCTACAATTAAACTTACCTTTAAAGATTTGAAACTATGAACGAAAGAATCCTCCATACAACACATCTGAGAGGGACGATTGGGTATTGAACCCTATCACTTTTGTAGAACGCGAGAAGTTTCACCAAATTACAAATTAGGCACAAATGGAGAGGAGTAATATTAAATTCACTTGCCTCTTCCCCTTGCTTCTGAAGTCATAATCTGACTGAGCATCATTTGCCTTTGCTCCTCGGCCTCCTCTCTAAAGTGCAAAGTTAATAAAGTTTGATTTATAATGAAAGGAAATATCATCTAGGAACTTGATTGAAAAGCTACAGCAAGATTAGTGCAGTACCTTTTATTTTCATCTTGTGTCTTTTGTTGATCTCGGTTTTGAAGGTTTCCCTATTTGAGGAAAAAAATTATTATAAGCATATAATTCGTGTGTGTTCTATCGAGTAACTATGCATATCATTAATCAACAGGATTTGCATATTGGAAATTGCTCTTACAGCTCCGCTTTGAGCCATCAGCTCCTGCATTCTCCTTTGCCGGAGTGCTTCTAATTCAGGATCCGCCTGAAAATAAGCAGAGGAAATTTCACCAACCTTTCGTAATGAGGAATTCAAACTTCGTTAAGATCCTAACATTATCAACTCAAACAAACCATATCAGATCACGTGGAGGGTTGATCGGATACGAGGTTCGAAGGCCGGGATACGCCGAGACAAGATGTAGCTAGGAGAAGAAGTACGGCCTTTGTAGTCTGCAAATGTCGCCAGAGACGATTCCTGTGATAATTCGCTGGTTCCTGCGAGCCCACAGAGGCAACAGGGAAGCTACACGCTCGATACTCAACCGGCGGCTTACAGAAACCATGTATTTAATGGTTCCATATATTTTCATCCCGAACCCAAATAGTACGGAATATGTACTTGATTTTGAGACCTAAAAATACATGACCTAAATGTATGTGTTTATATAAATATTGTTATTTCTTTTTTTAGATAATTTATGTTATATTTTGGTATATCATTGGATTGTAGAAGCTGGCTTTTTTGGTGTAGAAGTTGAGTCCGACTCCCTCGCGGCTATTTCTCTTCCCCGACGCCCTTTAGTTAGCGATAGCTATAGGCATCTCGTTCAGCCTCTCAGAGATGCAGCTCATCAGTTTTCAATCACATTCGGCCATTGTTACAAGAAAGCTAACGAGGTTGCTCATCGTCTTGCTCAGATCGCTATTGGAGCTAGATTTCCTCTCATCTATTATCAAGATGCTCAGTTGCCTAATCGGGTCAGAGGGGCTATCCATTTAGACGTTGTTGGTCTCCCTAGCATTAGGGTTTCCTAATTTGGCTTAATTTGGCTTCCTTTTTTGTTTTGCCCTTATTTTTTAAAATTGGGTAAGGTATAGTCCCCCCAATTTTTTCACTTGCTTTTTCTTCCAGTATATGTTTCTATTTATTTTATTCATGTATTTCGAAGAGGCATGCCTCTTCTGGAAAGGTTTTGGCCTCGTCCCCCTTTCCAATTGTACCTTTCATTTATTACTAATAAAATAATGGCAAATGTTCCCCGGTATTTGCCCCACTAATTTTGGTGGTTGACCTTCCGAGTTTAAAAAAATATTAATGTCTTAGAAATCATTAACGACAACTAATTTCTAGTAGCGTAGTGTATATGACTTTTTGTTCTATTATATTTGTGCAGTTTTACAACTTAATTAATATGAGTTAAATCTTAGCTCTCGCGGTTCAATGCAATTATAAAGTAAATTAGAACTAATATTCAAATTAACCTACAACAAAGAAGAAGAAAGTTGAAGGAGTGATTGATCCATATACAAACATGAATTTATTCTTTATTATCAGCGCCATCTTCATGAGTGATAATTCTTTACCGTTAATGGTGCTGAAACCAGACCTAGCTTAGGATTTTCTCCAACATGGAGATAGAAAGGACTCGTTAGGTCATCTGAGTTGTTTGTGGTGTTAGCACTTCCTAAGCCGGTGGAGATAGCAGTGGTGTATGAGTGTGGCATGGTTGCCGATCACGGCTTTACTACCATAATAGAATCTAGAGAGAGGGAGAGTGTTTGGCACAACACAAATGTGAATCAAGAAAAGAGATTATTTCAGGAAATCGTGCCAATGTTTTGTATATACAATGATATTTATATCGGAGTAGTGTATAATATCTATTCTATAGCTGATGTGGCATTTTGATGTTATTTATATGTTAATGAGCTCCGGTATGAGGTTAATGTTCTATTGACCGGTGTTGTTAAATGGTGGCCATGGAGGAATGTTGAGGCTAATAGCATGGTGTGATATTAGCCTAATAGCATGGTGTGCTATTTTTTTGCCTCTATGGTGGCACTATATAGCGGACGGATTTGGGCATCAGCCATTAATAACACTAACTTTGACGGTGTGTAAAGGATTATGGTTGTACATATGTGCCTGTCAGTCATCGAGAGTAACTTGACTAGAGTTTTGAAAGAGCGGACTGGAGTTTTGAAAGAGCTATATATGATTCATGAGTTCTGCACAATAAAATTTTGAACATAGATTCAATCTGACAATTCTAACTCCTAATTTTTTGTTGTTGTTGAGATAACGATGTTTGAAAACAACATTGATGTTTACAAATTCATTCAAGACCTTCATTTCTTTGTCACTGAGGGTGAAAATGAGATTGAGCTCATACTCGCCACAGTTCTTCATGCATTCTTCGATGTTGTTGCAATTCTACTAAGGTAGTTTCAATGCCAGAAAATACCTTTAAAGTGTATGTTTGTATTAAGAGCTCATCTCATTGCAAATGCACATTTTAATTAGGGGCATCGTTGATAGGAGAGAGGCGCTTGAGAATTTGGATCTTATTCTTTTGTGCCTTAGACGAAAATTGTTGATGGTGGGTAAAATTATGTACAAACTGGCTGTTTCTAATAAACATGAGCCTTGTAAAATGATGCAATTCATTTACATGATGTTTATCCTAATTAATGTGTCTCCAGAATTGTTCTTGAAGCAAAAGATGATGATATAATTGGGAAAGTTGCTAGTAATACTATTGATTCTGGAGCACCTTAGTCTGAACAGGTAATCCTTGTTAACTCTGGATACACTCATCCAACTCCTTTTTTATGCAGACTATTTAAATATAGAAATAGAAATAGAAATGTTTAGAAATTGGGTACTCCCAACTTCCCAAGGCTTAGAAATCCATAGGGTTTATACGGAAAGGCATATGTATATTAGTAGGAGAAATTTGTTTGGAAAAAATATGAAGGAAGAGGAAAACAACATCCAAGTCTTATGCCCAAAAGATTTTAATGTCGGCTAACGTGAATCGATCCATGATATCCCCGCCAAAAAGTTAATGAGAGATAAGAAAAATAAAAAGATAAGGTAAGATAAAATGAATAATATAAAGATAAATATAAGATAAAAATAACATAAAAACATAAGAAAGATAAAAAGATAAAAGATCATAAAGATAAAAGATAGAAATAACACAAGAACATAGAAAGATAAACAAGATAAAAGAAAACAAGAGTGAGAAAAGAGAGGAAAGGGATAACCGTCCATATGAATATGTACCCTCCACTTTGGTCTCTCCAAAGCCATACTCATAATGAAGGATTAAACTTACAATTCAAATGCTCATTAGATGATTGAGTGTTACCAAAGGCTACAGTCAGTGCCTTCCATTATTCGATGGTGAAACCTGGAAGTGCAGAAGATGACATTGGACCTGGATTCCCACTTCGCTGGTCCTGATGTGTTTGTGTGATCAATTCATTGGCAGGAGTTGCATGAGCTTTGACAACGTGATTCCCATGCGGCCATGCCCAATTCCAGCTTTGTCGCGTCCTGTCCCTTTGATGTTTCCTTGTGGATGGTCTCCCCACTACTTTGGATAACCTATCAGTTGGAGAACTTCGATCGCTTCATGGCCCGGAAAACTAGAGTGTGAACAAATCATCCCAAACTTGTCAGTTTTCTGAGTTTTACCTTAACCATGTCCAGTTTCTTTTGCTGCAAAACCCATACTTCAGGTTTCTCTTCCTTGTGTTGTGTTGCTCCCCTCACATGTTCCTCTTGCACCACTTGATGATAGGCTCTATTGAGATTGGGTAAAGGTTGTTGAGAAAGCAACGTTGAGCGAATCTGCCCATACAATTCGTGAGAGAGGCCCATCAAAAATTGAAGAAACCTCTCGTTTTGTTGTGGTTGTGCATGTCATCCCCCAAGCTTACTTGTACATTTACCACATGTGAATGTAAGCAAAGGTTCGTAATTATTAAGCTCATCCCACCATGTTTTCAATCTTCCATGATAAGTTTCTACGGATATGGATGATAATTGTTCACATCTCGCAATATTGACATTCAGTTGATGAATCCGTGGACCATCAACAACAAAAAATCATTCTTTAAGATCATCCCATAACAGTTTCACGTCATCATAATGGGAAAGTGTATGCTTCACTTCTAGTGTGATTGTACTCATTAGCCATGACACAATCATTGAATGGATAGTTAGCCAATCATCCTCCTTACGTTGATCGTTGTATGAAAGTTTTGTACCATCAACAGAATCAAACTTACGACGTGCCCGGAGCGCCAATCTAACTAAACCAGCCCATCCGTCATAATTTTCACCATTAACACACACAGGAGTTATAAATTCCCCTGGTCGATCTTGTGGCCCAAGAAAGAAGGGTGAAGCATGATCGATCTTTAGTCCTGAGGATTTGGCACTGCCTTCATCAATATCTTTCTCTTGGGTCATCATTCTTCAAATTGTCGCTTACCTAAGCAAAGGCTCTGACACCATAATGGAAGAAATAATCTATTTATTTTATCTATTGAAAAGTGCTCTCTGCCCCTTTGTTTGATTATTACAAATATAGAGCAGTGTATGTTGCAAACCAATCACCATCAACGATTAAAATCCTAGACTAACTCAACTAGGTGAGTTTACAAGTCTATACCAAACTAGAGTCCACCCACGGAATAACTAACTAGAAAGAATAATATTAAGAAACATTAATTAATATATCTTGATCGGTCAACAATTTCTCACTTAATCCTAAATCTATATATATAATATATATAGGTGAGATCGCATACAAACTAGTCCTCTCACGCCAACCTACAAACTGTCACAAACTGTCACAAACTGTGCATCTTTACATTATTTGTATTTGCATATTGAAGTTCAAAGTGTTGCATGCATATTATTTGTATTGCATATTGAAGTTCATAGTGTGCATATTTACATTATTTGCATATTGAAGTTTATAGTGTTTAATTCAGCTTCCATGAAGCTCTAATTGTAAAAGTTGGGTATATTATTTCACTGTGGATTATATTATTATCTCTTTCTTTATAAAATATTATTTTCCTAGCATTTATGTGGAAGGGTATGTTGACTCATACACTTGAAAGAACAACAAACTAAATTGTCTTTGAATTAGCAAACGTAAAATCTTAATAATATTTTTAAGTGATGTTTTTTTTGTATATTTCAGGTTAGTCAAAGCATTAGCAGTTTTAAGCACAAAGACTTATATACGAAGGGTAATACATGGTGTGATTTTACTTTCTGTATGAGTAGCTTATGTTCATCATTTCAGTTATAATGTACTATACTGTAAAGTGTTATTACTAAGTTAGGGTACAAAACTGAAAATTAAAGTTATTCCAAATTTTTTATATTTGTGCTTCACTGTTTGCTGAAATGCATAGTTTAAGGATGTTTGTTTATTCATGATATTTCCTTACCCCTCTGGTGGTTCATTCAAATTGAGATGCTTAAGTGAAATATGTTTGATTGAAAACATGACGATAGAACTTTAGTAATATTTTAACTAGCTTTCCCAACGTACTATGTGA